TGCAGGAGCTGGCCTGCTCGACCTGTGTTTTGCAAAGACCGTCCTCGTTATTCGGCCTTGCCTCAGACCTCTGTTGGCAGCAGGACTTACAGGTGCGCAATCGATTCAAGAATGTGCGAATGCTTGGGCATGCTTGGGCCTGTCGCTTGCTGCAAGGTCGCCGCCCCGACTCGGGGCACGTGCAGTCCAGAGAGCGGGTGTGCCATCACGCCGTGATGCTCTAGAAGGGCAGCCCTTGGCACTTTTCTGCGTGCTTGTCTGACTGGTCAGTAGGGTGCTTGGGCAGCCTACGCGCTGGGGGTGGCTGCATGTGGCTGCGCGTTTGCACCGCAGCGGCGGCAGCGTCTACCGGGCTTACAAGTATGGCAGGGCCACTTTTGAGCGCGGCACGCGGCGCAGAATCCGCCAAGAATGCACAATCGTCTTGGACGCTCGAGTCCATCTGCTCAAGAATGGCATAGAGCGCGCACCGTTTGGGCTTTGCTGTGGGAGGTTCTGACTTAGTGTAGTATGCCTGACTTGATGAGCGCCCGCCCGGCGTGCGGTCACTTGCACCACATGGCCATTCCAAGAAGCTATTTGTGCCATGCATCCTTCGGTCTTTTGTGTCGGTTACGCCCCATACCGTTGGAGCGGTCGGCGCTGCCATTGTCTTGCGAACTGCCAAGATACAGCTTTTGAGCTTTAGCAGTTTCCTTGCTAGTGACATTCCCCTGGCCCGCGTTTTCGCACGTGTAGGCAGGTGCGCGAATTGTTCTTCTTGCTCCCGGTCCTTGGCAAGCCCAAGAAGTTTAGCTTGAGCATGTCGAAAAGAAGCGGAAGCGCTCCGAGAAGCATGGCCGAAAATACAGTTGTACATCCGACAGGCATCCAGTAGCATAGCGGTTTGATCATACAGTTTGCCGGTTCTTGTTCTCTGCTCCGTTTCGCCTGAGTTCAGCTGAGCCTTTCTCACATTATCACAACTTCACGCAGTCCTGGACAAAATCTGAAGCATGCCGTTGCCAGCGAAGTCTGGGGTGTGAGCCGGCAGGCAGCGGTGCGTATAACCGCTAGCAGTTGCCAGAGTATGTCGATGAGGGTATTGGCAGGACTACAGCAACCCCGCGGTCTGCAGGGAGCCCGTATGACTGTTGTCTTGTGATGAAGCACGGCTGTGCAGGAGCTGGCCTGCTCGACCTGTGTTTTGCAAAGACCGTCCTCGTTATTCGGCCTTGCCTCAGACCTCTGTTGGCAGCAGGACTTACAGGTGCGCAATCGATTCAAGAATGTGCGAATGCTTGGGCATGCTTGGGCCTGTCGCTTGCTGCCAGGTCGCCGCCCCGACTCGTGGCACGTGCAGTCCAGAGAGCGGGTGTGCCATCACGCCGTGATGCTCTAGAAGGGCAGCCCTTGGCACTTTTCTGCGTGCTTGTCTGACTGGTCAGTAGGGTGCTTGGGCAGCCTGTGCGCTGGGGGTGGCTGCATGTGGCTGCGCGTTTGCACCGCAGCGGCGGCAGCGTCTACCGGGCTTACAAGCATGGCAGGGCCACTTTTGAGCGCGGCACGCGGCGCAGAATCCGCCAAGAATGCACAATCGTCTTGGACGCTCGGGTCCATCTGCTCAAGAATGGCATAGAGCGCGCACCGTTTGGGCTTTGCTGTGGGAGGTTCTGACTTAGTGTAGTATGCCTGACTTGATGAGCGCCCGCCCGGCATGCGGTCACTTGCACCGCATGGCCATTCCAAGAAGCTATTTGTGCCATGCATCCTTCGGTCTTTTGTGTCGGTTACGCCCCATACCGTTGGAGCGGTCGGCGCTTCTTGGAATACGTAAGGTATCGAGAGGTGCAGCTGAGGTTATTGGAGGCGCATAGGCAGCTGGTGGTGCAGATCGCTTGAGTGACTCAGCATGCGAGTCCAATCAAGTTCTGGCTTGATCTGTGCCATGCACGACTGGTATCCGCGATTGAAATTCCTGCGGCGCCGCTTTCAGCCATGGTCCTCCTCAGCGTTGCAGTGTCCCACGACTCCCCATCTGGTGTAAAAGTCAGTTCGCAACTGCGATCTCAATAAGCACCATATAAGCACCATCCATACACGCTCTCGCAGCAACGCAGGTATTGCGCCGTGTGCGCCAAAGAGTAAGGGGATCATGGGGTTTGTTCCAGATTCTGAGCCGCTGTCGGTTCGTTCCCCTTTGAATCAGGTGAATAAGGAATAGGAACATCATAGTAAGTGGAATGGAGGCCCAGAAAGCAACCTTGATCAGAGACGGCCCGCAGACACCGCATTCAGTCACGTCTGACATCTCACTGGTGAGGCTTGTGCATGCAATGGCGTTCCTGGAACAAGCAAGTACACTGCCAGCATTGCTCGCAGTCCCCCGTCTCAAGGTGCCTGAGGCATGCCGTAGGATCAACAGGGCAGAGGTCTCCTGCGCCCAACGCAGGACCCTTGATGCCGCAAACATCGGCAAACCACGCCTGGGCAGGGATGAGCACAGCATAGAATCATGCAGCGCAGGGCGCTTGACGCAGCCAACTAACGGTGGCTTTTGTCCTTTCCTTGCTACCTGCCATCAGGCCCTCTTCTCGTAGGAACGAAGGCGCAAGCTCCAGGTCACGCACTCGGAACGACGTGGAAGGACAACATGCCAGAACCCTTAGCGCCCGGGCGTCCCAGCTGCGAGAGTCGAAAGCTGAAGCTGATCCCGAAGCCCCAGCAGTCTTGAAGAGCTGATCTTTTTGAAGCATCCGTCCAGTTGCACAGCTCAATTGCTTGACTTGTGTCCCATAGCATTTTGTCTGGCGTAACTTGCCTTCAACAGGCTCAAACCTCCCATCTTCCTCGGATAAAGTACAACCTTCAAGAAAGGTAGTAGCCCTGGCAGAGACTGTTCCAAGACCATTTGCTGTGATATGAATAGCCAAAGAGTTTGATGGCGGCCAAATGCCACACTTCGACGTTCGGTTGTTATTTAGTTCTGTAAGATCCTGCAAGCCTGAGCCTTGCGGCCCTTGGAACAGAAAGGTCTTAGCTGCAACTGACGGCGCGCTTGCCCGCAGGTACCACATGTCGGTTCCGATTGCAAGGCGTCACTAGCACGTGAATAGGCCCCTAAAGCCTTTCTATTTCAGAGCATTGCCGGTGTACTCCGGCTGCAGATCTGGTTGCCAGAGCCCACCTGGTGGCTGAATGCCTCTCGTGACGGGTACACATGCGGCGACTTGGTCTTCGCAGACATTCAGTGGTTCATGCCGTGATCATGCCAGCAAATGAGCCCGGGTGCTGGAGCTCTCTCGCATCGGTCCTTCATGCATCGACGGCCGCACATGAGCTTGTCAAGCTGCATGTCTAAGATGCCATACTTATTGGCGATTGCATCAGGATGTCGCGTGTATGCATACCTGCAGATCTGGGACTGCCTGACGCATGTATCGGCAGCGGATGATGAGGGAGCAAGGTCATAATGTTGTTGCTTGTTCTGAGTTCCAAGTTTGCAAGGGCGTCGAACCCAGGTCCTAGCGGTAGCATCGGCGGAGATTGCTTTGATATGCGCCGCTGATCATACAGTTTGCCGGTTCTCGTTCTCTGCTCCGTTTCGCGTGAGTTCAGCTGAGCCTTTCTGCCGTTGCCAGCAGAGTCTGGGGTGTGAGATGGCAGGCAGCGGTGCCTATGGCCGATAGCAGTTGCCAGCATATGTCGATGAGGGTTTTGGCAGGACCACAGCAACCCCGGGGTCTACATGTCGGTTCCGATTGCACCTACATAGGCCCCTAAACCCTAGCTCTTTCAGAGCATAGATGGTCTAGCCAAGCTGACCGAGCCAAGGCAGAATTGCAACACCCAATGTAGGCACACTTGGCTTGCTTCCAGCCTGAGGTTTGACATAGATGGTGTATCCAAGCTGACCGAGCCAAGGCAGAATTACAACCTTCAACTGCAGCCTCGGTCCTGCTAAGTTAGCTTTCTTAGCCGCTTTTTCACGTATACCAACAATGAATGCTAGAGACGTCTAGGTTCCCAATAGGGCGCGAGGGCCGTTATGGGGATACACAGGTGCTACTTGATCTCAGTGTCCTCACCTCCTGCCCGTGGTTTTGTGCTTCCAGGATTACAGCTGTTTCCTCGGACTTCGCATTGCAACCGGCATGTCCCAAGCAAAGCCTATGCATGAGCAAAAGAAGCGATTCAGGACGGTTCTCGCGCTAGTGTCGAAGCGCTCGGGCTCGTGCCCTCTTGTCTCCAAGTGCCCTAGCTCTTGACTACATGGGGCCTACGCACGTACCTCCCGGGAGCTCTCGTCCACTCCTCCTTTCTCACATGTCGATTACGAAGAGGAACTGACTAAAGGTTGGAGGTGACAGATTGAGGCCCGCAAAGCGCGCGATCCGTCCTGGTCGAGGGTTCCTGGGTGCAACCTAGGGCCGGTTGGTTGTTGCCTGGAGTCTAGAGCCGAAGCGCATGCAAAAAAAGTCGTGCAATGCTGTGCATAGCGTAGCTGTGACTCCTTCGCCAAGCAGACGCAAGGACTTGCTCCCGATCTCAGGCGGAGTGTGGCAAGGTAGAGCCATGAAAGGCCTGTTAAGAAGATTTCGCGTCTAGGAAGCCGGCATTCCTCCGCAGTAGGGTGCGAACCCTCTCCACGAGCCCAACGGCTCTGAGCCCACGGGCCTACAGCACACCGGCGCAACTTTTTGCAGCGACACCCAGTTGCTTCCTTCGTTGTGGCACAGCGCCGAAGCAGACTTTCTACAAGGTTGCTGCTTCGAACTTTGTTTTGTTTCAGATCCTGACGATTGACGGCGGCTTAACTGCCGTTCGAGCTTCCTCTACCCTCACATTGTGGCACCGTTTCTCCGAATGCGGGGGGCTGTTGCCCGGTCGTCAGATACGAGGGTCCCTCTTTTTCAGGATCTCACCGGTGGGAGAAGGAAGTCTCTGCAGCTGAGCAAAGCTTCCGCGCAATTTCGTGGCGGAGGGGAAGACAGCTTACTCCTTGGAGGCGAAGGCATGCGTCACAATTCCAAGATGCCCGGAATCAGGGATGCTGGAAATGTTGGGGGCAGGAGCGGCATCATCAACGACATTCCAATGAGGCACATGGTATCTTTGGCAGCTGCCGTTTCTGCAAGTCCAGTCCTTTCGCCAAGTTCCTCGAAGTGCTCGAAGCTTCCGATCAACGGGCTGACACTGCAGCCGCTCTGCAATCGGCTGTTGTCCAGAAGCTGTACTTCAAGCACACCAGTGGCACCACCCTGGTGCCTTGCCAGATTTAGACACCAGACGCCTGGGATGCGTGAGCAATGGTCGGCGGATTCAGTGCTGTCCTCGCCCGCGGCGCTGACGAGCGGATTTCCGGAAATCAGCATGTCGGGCCTCAGGAGCCCGTGGCTTCACAACCGGCACATGTGAGAAAGAATGGAAGCAGCACGGGCAGCCAAATTGCTGACAGAAGGTAGGACTCAGAGGCGTTCTGAAGCGTGCTTGGACAATCACTGGGTCACCGGACAAATCTGCTCTATTCATGCCGTAATTTGGCGGGCAGCTGTGTGATATGCTGTGGACTGAAACAAAAAGTACGGGGCAATACAGCTTGTCTGGGGGGTGAGCGCAAGGGCAAGGGCCGCAAGGGCTTAAAGATGTTTCGCTACCACAGAGCCCTTTCCTTGACTCCCGTGACGCGAAAGGGCATGTTTTCCGTTCGGAGAATTTTAGAAGCTAAACCGCTGTCAGAGGATGCGCCTCTGCTGCCGGTGCCAGGGCCAAGGCTTCGGGCAAGTGACCATCTTGACCCTGTGGATAGTAACAAGCTCTCGTGCTACAAGCACCTTCAGATAGACCCTCAACCATTTCAAGCCGGCATCTTTCGATCCGACACCTGCGGCTGACCCTGCATGCCTCATGAAACGACTCGATGGAGGACCGTCGATCCCTAATGGCTTCAGCAAAAATCAACCTCGCCTGGCTTGTCCGAGTTGTGAGAGCGTAATGGCTTCAGCTTCATTTTTACAAGAGAGAGTTCCTACTTAGGATTCCGCTGAGCAGGGTTGAGGCCCTTGCCGATTAGGTTTTGAGCGGAGATGCAAGGAGCAGTGCTGGGATGTAGCTGCCCTCGCTGTTTGCATCCCACTATAGGGCGTTGTATACGTCTGCGGGGCTCACGCAACGACCGTCGACGGAAGGCAAGCAGAGCAAAGACAAAAAGAGGGACGAGGGAAGCGCATCCCCGGATGTTGCAATGAAGCGTTGATTGCTTTTGGCATTGCAATTGCCGGTGCTGGGTCGTATCCAATCTTGATCGCATCGTTAAGATCAGAAAGAGATGGATTGTAGCAGTCAAAGCCCGAAGATGCACATGAGCGGTTTCTTGCAGCTTGATCGATGCTGGCTATGCTGCGGCTGATACGTGCGTTTTGTCAGTTGGGCTGAAATAAGATGTGCAGCGTAGATTTGAGAATCATGTCACTCATCATTAATTAAAGAAGAATGTACGTAAAGTCTTGGATTTGACAGGACGGCCGGCCATCTCATGAAGCGCGAGCACAAACAAGCATGTGTGGTCGGCATAAGTCGCGGTTTGCTAGCCGAAGCTTGCTCAAGACCTGCCACGCTCTTGTCAGCCATGCAAATCTTTCAAGCCCGGCTACATTACATGACGATCAGATCACGCAGAAAGATGACTATCCTGGTTCCACGCCAGTCCGGGTCTCCGCAGCTCGACATGAAGTTTCACTGAGCTGGTTCTTCACTGAAATTGAAACTTGGCTCACAAGCTCTACTACAGCATTGTTGATTGATTTTGCTCACGCACGCAGAGTGCCGAAGTGCCAGAGCTATTGCTTTCGACCCGATGCACCAACATTTGATTCCCCACTCGGCTTGGTGTTGTAGCTGAGGCATGCAGAGGCTACACGCACCCTGCTGGGTCACTGGCAAAGAAGCCAGTTCCTCCAGCGAGCGCCGCCTTGTAGACGGGGATAAGGCATGGGCCTGCTCGTGCGACATCTCTGTCCGGCTCGTTGACGCTGGCCCGTACAAGCCAGATCCTAGTGCAAAGCTGTCGGCATCCCCGTTCCATATGACCCACGACTCAGCGACGGGCTACATCGGAGACTGGGACTTAGTCAGCCCTTTTGTGAACCTCAAGGTTCGGTTGGACTGTGGGGCTCGCGCCTTTGGCCTGCGGCTGGTGCAACACGACGCCATGATATACTTTCACCACGGGGATCTTCCTGTTGCCAAGTAGATGTCGGACCAGACGCTGCCCGAAGAACTGCCGGGACTACTTGGCTGGGTTGGCAAACACCCTGACGAGTTGGTGATCATCTCGGCCAGCCACTGCGGTCACAAGGGCCCAATCGAATACGATTCCAAAAACTGCACTGACGAAGAGTTTGTCAAGCCATTCACGGATGCAGGAGTTGCCTTTGGGTCGGACTGCGACAAGCTGCGCAGCATGACCCTTGCTCATACAATGACTACCAGTGCCTTGAGCAACTGAGGGCACGTGATTCACATCTATGGCGACTGCCTGACCAGCAGTTGGAAACGCAGTGTAGACAGCATCGAGAAGGTCAAGCCGTACGTGGTCAAGACCATGGCCAAGGAAAGAGGCTGCGGGGACCCCTTCATAGTCCAGTCTTCCATGCAGCAGACGTTGCAGAAGCTCTGCGTGATGCAAAGCTTCCAACTCAACAAGGACATAGCCTCTTGGATCCAGAACTCTGACCTTTATGATGGTGTGAACTTCCTCGAGATCAACACAATCTGCACCTACGGCATGACGATCTCCAGTGCACTGGGCGCAACGATCTCCAAAACGGATGCCGACACTTTGCATGAAGCACTGCAAGGAGAGCTGCCCGGCATGTCTGAAGGACTGAGTGTTGCGAGAACGTGGCCGAGACTTGAGATCTAAATTCCAGCTTTGAATGGTCTTTGAAGTCCAGGGATGCTCAGGCAGAAGTGACACAGAATCATCGGTTTGTCCTTTGCTTGCAGGTCAAACCCCGGAGCCGCAAGTGTTTTGACGTTCATGGCTAGGAACCAGTTGCCGAAGGATTCTCTTTGCCGTGAACCTCCAATGTTTGACATTCACTCAGGCCTAAACCCAGCAGTCCCAAGCGCAATTTGATAATCCCTCAAACCTCTGCTTCAAACCTCAACTGCATACAGAGAGCTGTTCGAACCACCTAGTCCCTCAAAACCCGTCTGCAGTGCGACCTGGTCAGCGAAGCGGGTGGGAAACAAAAACCCGAAGCCTTGTTTTCCCGTCGGTATCCCGGAATTCTCCGTGATGGGCAGTGGTCCTTAGGGCATTTGATCTCTTTTTGAACTGCGCCCTTTTTTGGGGGGCCCTTAATCTACAAAAGATTGTAGTACAATAGGCCCTATCACGGCCCATATTTAAGAGTTAGATGAACCCCCAGACTGTTGTGCTTTGCAGAGCAGCACAATAAAAGCGTAAGTGTTACCGGGGTTTTATACTCAAGTGCCCACCAGAAGAGCTCCAAAGCCTGCTTCGTTGATATGTAATCCTAACTTGCAAAGAGGCAAAGAAGGAGGATCGGTGGTTAATTTGAGGCAGGCTGTTAACGACAAGATCCCCAGGAAGTATTGGATGTCTTAAGGAGCTCTTACTTGAGTCTGGTCGTCTGGCTCGGAGACGCGCCGTGGAGCATGCGACGAGAATGTTTGCTTGGCGTAGGCGGAGGAACGTAGCGAACTGGGAAACTTGTAAGCCTGACAGCGTGTGTCACATGATGTTGTGAGAACCAATCAGGCTTGCCTCGTTTTCCCTCAGACTCGTCACTGCAATTGCGGTGTGCACTGCTTGTTCTGCCAACACTTCCAAGATACCTCAGAAACTTGTTCCTTTTCAGTGGTACCGCGCTACCGCTCCCGACCCAGTGCGCCTTCAGCAAGGACGTATTACTTGTACTGAATTGCTATTACTGCCAATACTAGAAGTTGTTTCGGTATAACTGCTATTGTCATGATCATGTGTGTTGCTCGGACTACGATTATACGATTCCAAATAGTGCCATTGCTATGACTAATGTTGTTGTCGCCCTTCTTGTTACTGTCATCGACCATTATCCAGAGGTGCTGTCAATGCTCAACTTAAACTTGGAGTCCACTGCCTTGCGAGTCGCCGAGGTTTCTTTCAGGGACTAAAGCTGTGAACAAGTGTACCAGGGGGGTTACCAGGCACCCCCCGGAGTAATAGAAATTTCAATCATGATCTGTACTAGTGGTATTGAAATTCATGTCGCTCATACGACTCCTGCTTCATGGTAGCAGGTTTGGGGGATTGGAGTCTATCGTAGGGAAATGGAGGAATTGACCGCTTTTTCTGGCTGGATGGGGGGTTAGCCCTGTACACCCACTAACTAAGAGCGTTCAATGCTGCACAGGCCACAAACACATTTGAATTAGGGTCGTTTTAGGATTGGCTGGGATGGGGCAGCAGCGCATAAAATCCCCCAAGGTTCTCCCAAGGCTCTCCTTGGTTTCCGCTCCAGGTAGAAACACTGAGGTGCGAAGGCAGTGTTCCACATTGCCAGCACAAGGAAGTCTTGTTCTTGTTCTACCTTTATTCAAGTCGGACGTGGCAGTTCAAGTCTGGAGTTGTGGATGAATGGATTTCTTGTCAGCATGTGTGGGAGAGCAGGGTCCAGGGCCCAGGGTTTATTTAGGGTTTGATTTTGGGGGTTGCTGGTTTAGCGCTGAGGGGTTTAAGCAAAAAGGGTCAAAACTAGCATCTGGAACCAATAAAAACTCAATACAAAGCAGTTGAAAACCGGTTTTCAAGCCTGTATAAAAGCCCATAAAAGCCAAGAAAACAAATATCATCAATAGAAAACCCATAAAAGTCAATAGAAAACTCTTAAAGCTACAAAAACATAGGAGACAAAGAAAAGCCTATAGAAACCACTGGGATTTTAGGGGCTCAGGGGATTTAAGGCTGTATTTTGTTTGGGTTTAGAGGGTTGCTTGCTTGTTGAATGTGCCTGTTGGTTTGTGGATGCATTCCTTTGTTGGTTGTTTGGTGCTTTGCAGCTGGTGGGTCTTTTCACGGGCCGGCGGATGGTG